TTGACGGCTCGCAACTAAAAAAGGTTAAGGAAGTAAGGGACTTAGGCTTCATCGTCGACCATAAATTGGAGTTCCATTCCCACTGCATATCGATAGCTAATAGAGCGGAGAAGAGACTGTACCAGTTACTGAGGAGCTTGCTTACTAAGGATCCACACGTTCTTATAAGAGCTTACAAGACTTATATTCGTCCGCTACTAGAGTATGGTTCTGTTGTATTCTTTCCTTATATGAAGAGGACCATTTCCAGCCTGCAAAATAGTTTCACAAGAAAGGTTTTGACTCGGGCACTGGGTTTTATTTACAGTTCTATACCAAGAGGTGTCGTTAGAAATAAAATGCTTGCGCTCGATTCCTTACTCAGTAGAAGGAGAAAACAGGACTTCATAACAATGTTCAAGATACTTACAGGAAAGTCTGAGGTAAATTTGCGTAACACTCTCACCCTCTGTCCGTCCAACACTCGTGGTGACAAAGTTAAACTCTCCTATTCTAGAGCTAAGTCTAATATTAGAGCCAAGTTTTTGCTTTACGGGCTTCATCTGAATTCGTGAAGTTTTCGAAAAAACACAGTATGCCTGGGAACTTAGCTCAGCTAAAAAAGATTCTGCATCAACATTTGACTTGAGGGCTACTACGGACTATTCTCATTTTTGAAACTACGTTGATACTTGAGGAGCTGGTCTATGTTGATACTCGAGTTACGTGACCTCATGTTGCTTTATCTTTTTTCGAATTTCTTTATTAATTATTTCCATTAACTTGCAATGTCAATGTTGTCAGCAGCCTTGTTTGTTGGATTTACAGTTGTTCCATGTTGCTTCATGTGCCTATGGTGCATGCAATAAATAAATAAATAAATAAATAAATAAATAAATAAATAAATAAAGGTACACATCTTAATATAAGAGAATAGTTAATGCGACAGCAGTGAAACGCATAACTGAAAAGCCTTTCCAATCGGTGTGATGATCATCCTCCCATCGATTACGGGATTCGCAATTTAGCCTCAACATTTCAGTTTAATTAAGGCAGCAGGTCACACGATCGCTGCCGAACCATTTAACGGCTGCGCTTTGATTATTGGTATTTAAGCTCGCGTTCAATATTAATGCAGTATGCCGGCCTCATATGTGATAACAGCTATCGTAGCAGTAAGCGTATGGAGGCGAAAAAAAAGCAAAGACGAAAACACGCGAAAATGCAGTCCTAGAGAGATTTACCCGAACCAAACGGCTGCAGTTACGTGCTTAAGGCGAAGAGAAGGAGTCTATGTGAGTCGCAGGTTTCCACTTGTTCATATCAGCTGTTTTCCCTTATCACCTCACTCTCACCACTCCACGTGGAGAGAAGCAGCAATGGAACAACCGCACCATCAGGCAACCATTAGAAATGAAGTTGGGTGGCGTGGTCGGCAGGTGGGCGGAGCCGTCGGCTCTTTGCGGGCGGACGCCGCTGTTCCGTCGCATTTTTGGGTTGCGAAACATGCACGTCCACCATCCTCATAGGGGGAGCTACTAGGTCCAGAGAGGGCGTGAGAACAACAAATGAACGCGGGCGCTGCCTTTAAAACGTGGATTTTTAAACTGTTCCATGCTTTTCTGCAGAGGGTTTAGTGGTAGATGGCATGCTTACTACGCTCGCTTTCCTCAAATGGTGATGCCTGGAAAACGTGGGACACCGGAAACAGCCGTCAAGCTACAAATCTCGGCTGCAACACTCGAAAGTGGATGCCAAGTGGCTTACCAAACTATCTGCGCTTGACATGAAGGCTGCAAGTGGAGGCCATTGAATGGGATCCTTGCATTCATACCGAAGCGAAGAGACAGAGCAAACGGATACGGAACAATTCAGTTGTGTTTGATGCAAAACTAGATCCTATTCTGTAAACCACAGTTCTATATGTAAACGGAGTGGCAGCTCTGAAGGAACTGATTTCCGGCCTAAGAGGATTGGTAGTGAGTGATTAGTGAACAACCCACTTTAGAAACTCCCGGTCGTTGCGCCGGACCAACTCCAAATGCCTTGCCAGTTCGTCGTCACTTTGGTAGTCGCTTACTGCGATGAAGGAATTCGCTGGTATGCCATCATCTAAACAACATAAGCTAACATAACAAACAATAACAACATCAACACATGGAAGAGGTCCTTAGGAGCTATGACCATGACAATGATTGTGGTTGCTTACTATTTGGGTACGAGCTCATCCTTCTCATCATCCACTACGTGAGAGTGTGTCTGTCAAGAAGTGAAGTGCGCTCGCCCCAGACAGCGTGCCATGGGCTGCAAGTAGTGATGTATAGGGTGGAGGGGGCATCTGTAGTTGGTAACAGGACGAGATAACAGGTAATAAAATCCCATAAAGGGAGTTGCGAAGGATGGAGTTGGGAAATGTTCGGAAGGTCACCAGAAAGATAGCGACCTCCACAGCATTAATAGAATCACTTCACACATCGTGTCATAGTGTATAGGATGGGGCCGGGTGGTGACTGAAAGTGATAACGGCAGGTGAAACCAACAGCGGTGAGCTTTAACGGTGCTTCTGAAATAGCGGGCTGCCGGAATTCTCTCGTAAATCATTGACCCCTTGCTGCGGCAAACTCACAAAAAGAAGGCTTGAGATGAGGGATTCCGGCAGCACCCTTATGAAGTGATGTCCTCTCGTTTACTTTGACTCAGTGAGTGCTGTTCTGTGGTGGACGCAACGGTGACGCAGTTGATCGGGGACACAACGCAGCTGTAATCTTACTGGGATTATCAAGAGGCGATGCTAATTAACATCCGCCCGGCACCACAGTGTTCGAGGTATGTTGGACCGACCGTCTAGGTAGCGATTTCTCTACTAACTAAGGGATCAATACTAAACGTTCCCTAAGAAACAGAAAAATAAAATTAATTAACTAATATGTTAAAATAAGTTATGTGAGGGGGTTACAAGGAAATCGTTTATTTTCCGTTTCGTGTTCGCACACCCCTTAGACGCAATACTAAACAAAAGAATATCCCGTCCCTCGCGTGCTCTTCAGTGAACAAAAAAAGAAAAAGGAAGACCAATATGGGAGAAACGTCGCGAGGTAAAGGTGTACACAGGTATGAGCGTCACTACAATTCTTCTGCTTGAATACATCACTCCATTCTATAAAGCCTGACTTGGTGCGCTATTTTATCGGCACCTACGTATGTAAGTGAAATTTCTCTCTTGTCTGTTCCTCCGCCAAAGTGATAAAGAAAGTAATAATGGTTGAAAACAGCCTGGAATCATACACGCGAAGATAGCTTCGTTGAGGTATCAAGTGTAATTCGAAGTCACTAAGCATAAACGGTACATACGCAGAAGAAGTAGCAGGGATGCTATATATGTAGCGAGGAAAATGAGAAAAATTGGCACTATTCAACTATTACTACCCCAGATTTCCGGAAACGGGCCGGATTTTGATCGACTTTTTTCTACGGGGTGGATTTGGCTGAAAGTTGGGTTCTAGGGGTAATTCGACCTCCTGAACACGAATATCACATCCGCTCCTCTCGAAACCGCCTGGCGCCCGCGCCACAGGCGCCGGCGCCAAAGTACCCTGATCCACCGAACATGCCGCTGAAAACTTGTACCTAGGGGTAGTTTGACCTCCTAATCACGAATATCACATTCCCTCGGCTTGAAACCGCTCCGCGTCCGCGCTACGGGCGCCGGCGCCAAAATGCCCCAAATCACTGGCGCCTATGGCGCGAGAGCCAGGCAATTTCAGGCCAAGTGGATGTGATATTCGTGTTCAGGAGGTCGAATTACCCCTAGAACCCAACTTTCAGCCAAATCCACCCCGTAGAAAAAAGTCGATCAAGATCCGGCCTGTTTTCGCAAAACTGGGGTAGTAATAGTTGAATAGTGCCAAAAAAAGCAAAGTCAAACCGTCGAGCATTTCGGAAAACTTTTTCTTTTTCCCTTTTAATGAGCATTTACAAATGACTGGCGCTTATCACTTTTTGACAACACTCGCCATTCGTTGGAAATAGGACAGCCTAGCGGTTGAAAGAGTCTCGAGGGTAATAATATCGATATCATGTGAAATGTCCACACATCCTAGTACATCATTTGAGCAACTTTCGGGCTTTTACTTTTTGTTGAGACTCTACAGTTTAGCGGTCGAATCAAATCCGACCATATCGCCAAGGAATAGAAACATAGAAACATGTTGGCTCGCCGACTTGCCCACCTGCATTCGTTGGGCCGCGGTCGATTTTGATCTATACGACTCCTCAAAGCCCTTGTCAGGGGACTAACCTATCAGGAGGCTTTATCTTCCCACTACTGATCGTTACCTAAGCATCTCTAAATCACTTGGCTGGAAGCATTAGCTCCAGTATGACCACAACACCATGCTCGTGCTGAATTTTTGGGCCAGCTTATCACGCTGCCTATCACGCTCCTGCCACCCACAATATGTTCCCATCTTGCCACTATCGTGCATCTTGAAACTAACCGTCCCGGTCCGCGCGTGAGTCGGCCGCTAATGAATTTGGTGACTCTCCCTTGTAAGGCTCCTCTTGGTATCTTATCAGCCGCTATCACTTCCTGCCACCCACCAATGATGCTCCCATCCTGTCCTATACCCTCTACTTCTATGGCAACCAACCCTCTTACCGCTGCTGTGACCGCGCGTTGTGAATTTGCGTTGACCGACACCATTCTAGAAATCTGTCTGAAACGTCCCATATTATGTCATCTTATTCGGGCTGTTCTCACTTCCTGCCACGACCAATAATTATCCCATCCTTTGCTCCTCTTCACCCTTACTTCTTGGACACCAAGCCTCTCTACCGTGCTTCCGCTCACGCTTGTGACGCGCGTTATGTAGATGGTGATCCTTCCCTTCTAAGGCTCCTCATGTTATCTTATCAGCTGTTATCACGTCCTGCCACCTACCAATAGTGTTCCTGCCCGACCTCCTACATCACCTATCAATTTGAGCGCTCCACTGCTGTTTTGAAGGAAGTTATGAATTTCCGGTCAAACACACATACAGACACACAAACATACATTCACACACACACACACACACACACAACAGACAAACTTAGCGGATTATATATAGTAGGATACCAGAACGACCGCCACCTGAAAGATCAGCCTTCTTCACCAAAGCTCCACACGAAAGAAATGAACAATTTGGTGTTATATTGCCAGTAGGCTAGCAATCGTTCCAACTAGAACGATTGCTGGTGTCCAGGAGAGGAGTTAGATGATGCAAGTAGTACACATGATCATATGTACATACAATCTCGTTTGTGCGGATGCCGCGGCATGTCTCGAAGGGGAAAGTGGGTTCGGCACGGCCCAACCCCTTGGAAGATTCCTCAGTTATTGAATGAACTCGTCTACCAGCCTAACCTGTATGGCCACCTGCACGACGCGCCATTTACTTTGCTTTTAAACTCCAGAGACTGAAGTGGTAATGGTTGGGTTGGAAAATTACGCGCCAAAATACGCGAAACATGGGAATAAAGGTTTTTATTACGGGGTATTCCTAGCTTTCCGGTTATACTGTAGTAAGAAAAATTCATTGTTACCTTCGTAGAGCTTCCTGTCCAACACTATTGGTATCATCAGTTGAGAGACGCGATGGAAAAACTTCTCCGTTATGTAGTTACGACATAAGCTGTTCTCAAACGCGATGTAGAATCTGTGCGTAGCTGAAAAGGTGATTATTTTTGTTGCTCAAGCCATCCAAGCCTCGTTGGAGCCTAGATAATGATGAAGAATAGGACAATTATTTTTAAGTGCGCTCACAGCAATAGTTCCTACCCATATCGTGACACTTATCGAGGTGGTGCCCCTTACTAACGCAGCGGCGTTGAACTGCTGTCGGTTGAGATCAGACGGGGCTGAGAAAAAACTCACCGGAATGTTGCTGGGATGACGCGGCGAAGGAGTGGACAATGACAGGCGTTCCCTTCAATGCCATGCAATAGATTAGCTCTTTATCGGCCCAAATTCACCTTCAGGCGGTAGCATCAGAGCGCGCACTCACCAACACAACCAATCAATCCCAGTGGTATTGATACATCTTTGAGAGCATGCTCCGCCTATAATGAGTAATGCTTTTCAGTTGCTTCCGATGTCATAATGCTGCCATCAGTCACCATTACCTCTCCGCTTCCCTTCTGTTCTGCTGCTATATACCGTTCATCGACAAAGCGCCAGAAAGTAAAAGGTGCAAAGTGCCGAGGCCAAACTACTTCTAGGGAGACGTTATGAGCCACTTTGGTGATTTCTAATATTTTCGTGCCGGCGTCTGCGGCGCGAGAGCCAAATTTGCCCACGGAGATAGAGTTCGTTCAGATAATGCCCATCACGGAAGATTTGCTCAGTAAAGGGTAAATGTTGCCTTCACTTGGAATGACCCTTCAACGCACAAATCCCTTGTAAGTAAACGCTGAAAATAAGTCACGTATTGTTCTAGTTGAACGGACCGACGAGATCTTCCTCGCATCCATCATGTACCGACCTTGGACAGTACACTTCCTTGGCTTTCGGGAACATCGAACTACATCGACCAGCGATTGTAATGTTTACTTTCCCCGAGAGTCTCCTGAAACTCATCTTCTAGGTCACTCACCTAAGGATGATACCGATTTTCTCGGACGCTCTATTTTTTATGTTACATTTATGAAGTGGATGACTGGGAGTAGTGGTTTATCCAACGTTCACTACACTAGGCAAATCGTTAGGGAAACATGGACCTCAGGTCACTCGCTTGAGGTTCGTTAAGTTCCCCTCACGTTTTGCCTGTACGGGCGGTTATATAATTCACTTTATGTCTTGAATTTACATATTACGAATAAAAGCTTCGTGATAGGATGATGGAGAATGAGTAAAAAATCAAATTTGGCCGATTATACCGTAAAGTTGACTCTCTCGTGGAATTGGTGAGGCATTTCGACATAAGCAGCAGAGCGCCCTTCGTTTTTCTCTTCAGAGCTCTTCGAATCTAAAGGAGAACCTAGTAAACATTCAGATGAATTCGTAATGCCATCAATTCATTTTTCTTCCATATCGCTCCATGAAGTGTTCCAGCATTTTTCAGTACAGCTCAAAAGTATGAAAGAAAAGATTAAAGGCAGTGCCCGCGTTCATTTGTTGTTCCCACGCCCTTTGGATATCGTAGCTCACCCTATGAGGATGGTGGACGTACTAGTTTCGCAACTCAAAAATGCGAGAGAATAGCGGCGCCCGCTCGTGAAGAGTCGGCCACCCCGCCCACCTGGCGACCACTACGCCCAACTTCATTTCTAATGGTTGCCTGATGGTGCGGTTGTTCTGCTACTAACTCTCCACTTCGAATGGTGAGAGTGAGGTGATAAGGGAAAACAGCTGATATCAACAAGTGAGAACTCGTGCGAACCGCTCCTTCTCTTCGCCTTAAAGACACATGGTACGCTCACACACATTGAGGGTGTATGAGACTATCAGCCCCCCAGCTGTCGATGTGTCGTGGTCCCCCCGCCCAAAACTGCACGGGGTCAGAGTACGGGACCGTGGGAAAGTCGTAATTCCTTGCTACGCCGCCCGTTTTTGCAAACTCACGTTTTTACTAACACCGTCCGCGCGGCGCGGTCGCGTGCAGCTCTCTTGGCTTTTTGCCAAGTCCTGTAATTGCGCTTTGGAATACAAGTACAACGCAATTTCTTTATGCGGATAACATTTTAGGTTCTGCAAAATAAGAACTGAAGATGAT